TGCTATTTGAAAAGGGAGTTTTGCTATTTGAAAAGGGAGTTTTGCTATTTGAAAAGGGAGTTTTGCTATTTGAAAAGGGAGTTCTGCTATTTGAAAAGGGAGTTCTGCTATTTGAAAAGGGGTTTTGCTATTTGAAAAGGGAGTTCTGCTATTTGAAAAGGGAGTTTTGTTATTCGAAAAGGGAGTTTTGCTATTGGAAAAGGGAGTTGTGCTAAAGGGAGTTCTGGCATTTGAAAAGGGAGTTCTGCCATTTCAGAGGAGTTCTGGCATTGCAAAAGGGAGTTCTGGCATTGGCATCTCTTATTGATCCAGTGTTACTACAGGTGGAAACCTAAACTAAACTAACTTTATTTATACTGGATAGTTCTATCAGTTCTAAACTGTTCTCCCCAAAGGCCAAGTAAGCGCCATCCTCAGTTGCAGTGACTGCAGAAGGTAGCTGGAATGCTCACTAAAAGCCTATGGTATTTGGTAGAGTCAATATGATGGAGCTATAATTATGTAATCAGGAAATAAAACAAATTTTGAAAAATTTTAGACATGTTATTCACATACCTTACAAATACATTGAAGAATGGAAATTGTTGCCTTAAAATAGCCAACATGAAACACAGGCAACTCAAGGTCAATAAAACCATAATGTCCAACACAGTCAGCAAGTTGTTTACCACATGTTGTGCACAAGCGATCCTTGTTGCTGATCCCCTAGTAATGATGACGAGGTATTTCACAATATGTCATTTTCCCAGCGTTAAATGCATAATTGTTGGGATGGGAATAGAGATTTTCTGGAGGGGGTAGAGCAAGATGGGGTTCTAATTTGTTGGGATGTGTTGGAGAATATTGCAAGGGAGGGCGGGTTGAAATATTTTTAGTAGGTGATACAAGTCAACATAAAAATTCTGGTAACTACTGGTAGGTGGCGGAGAACATCACAAAAGATGGTGGTTGAACACAGAGTTACAACTTACCAGCTGCGGATCAAGTACTCCAAAAAGTGCGGGCTTTCTAGCATTTTCTGGCGTATACAGATTCTTACTGACGCACTGGATCTGAGAATTCTGTTGCATGTGAGATGGCGAGAATATGCCAAACTCAAGATGGCTTCTAGAAATGCAGCAAACAGATGATAATCCATCAAAATTGTAGTGTGCACGTCTAATCAGACAATCTTGTGCATATTTTGGATGGGGCTTCAATGATGGCATAGTCATCACAGCAAGCGCCTTTCACCTCCCTTACGAAAAAAGTCTATAGGTGGCCTATAGGTTCCTATAGGAATTGTTCCAATTCCCTATAGAAGCCTATAGGCACCTATAGAGCTCTACAGACTTATAGGCATCCCTACAGGTCACCTATAGAAAATGTTCCAATTGCCTATAAAAACCTTTAGGTTTCCTATAGAAACCTATAGGTTGGCCTATAGGCCAGGTCTAAAGACTTTTTTTGCTAGGGCTCTGAGATCGTGGGTTCGATTCTCACCACGGACTCGTGTGAAAAGAGTCGGTCAACGCTCTGCCGAAAGTTGTGGGTTTTCTCTGGGTGTTCCAGTTTCCTCCCACAGGGAAAGTTGACAGGGTGGGTTAGGATAAACACAGTTAAGAAAGTAATATCACAATTGTTGTAAAGATAAAATAGTCTAGGCTTAGCTTTGGCATAACCATTGCAATGCTGTTGCCATGTTTCTAGCTAGTGCGCTTATGAAAGGCAATCACCCTCTGAAGATATTCAAAGTGGCAGACATTCAGGGTGGTGAATGCCTCTCGTAAACACACTGGCTATGACGAGTGCATTTTGAAGATGAATCATGGTGTGTCGGCGGTTACGCTTTTTCGGCCGAGTCTGCTTTCAGTATGGTCTCTATTATGTGATATAACAGACAGATGGCATTTTTTGCATGACAGGCGGTTCGCACAATTTTGACCACATTTAATCAGGGGGACAAGAATAGAAACAATATAAGTTCTTTGAATGTTTGCATGGCGATAAAATATAATTGTTTTTGTTTGTGGAAACACCAGGTAAATTTAATAAAAATAAAAGAAACAATATAATAATTAACTAACACAAAAAATAATTACCAATTAAAGAAGGAAACATTCTCAGCCTGTCATTACTACCTAATTACTTCATTAACAGCGCGATTTGCATGACACGTGCTTGCTAGCTAACCAATTCTGAATTCTGAAAACCTACAACCAGGCTGACCATAGCCAACCACTGCAATATATCTTGCAAAATAAATCGTTTCAAATTCAACCGATTGCAAACTTACATTCGCCGTGCAGCGTCTGTCTCCCTAAACTGTTCCTTTACCATGTTTGAAGCGAAAAAAATTGCACGGTACGTGCAAAATTTAAAGAAATTTCATCTATTTTTGAAACTTTTCAAATTTGTCCACCATTTTTTCTTCGTAATATATTCGAAATTGGGAATAAATTAATTCACCCGATTCCTAGCCCGCGACGCAGACTCCACACCCGAAAAAGGCAGAGAATGCCCGATTCCCGGCGTGAGGCCGTCTAGTCCCAGACCTCCCATGTTGCTAAGCGAGCGATACAACAACATGGCGTGCTATTTTGCTTTGTTTTTGTTGTACACTGTTCTATTTTTCCCTCCTCCTGTCACGCTATTCGAAATCGATTTCAAAACGATCGAGAGCTGCAAAGGCGAGGGGAAATTCTTTCAAATTTCCAACCTACAGTGTGGTGATTGCGTGGTCGCTTCAGGCAATAAAGCCGTTTCTGCTGACGGACTTTCCTGCACTTGTAAAACTGACTATGAAATTTCTCAATATTTTGGCGGAACAACGATAGTTTGTAGTGGCTGTCCGTCCGGTACTGTGTCTTCCGAAGATAAACGGTTTTGTCTGGCATGTCAAAGTGGTTCTAGAATTATAAATGGCCGCTGTGAGGACTGCCCTGTCAATACCAAAGCTGTAGAGAGGGATTTAAATGGCGCTAAAAAGTCAACAAGACAATGCCTTTCATGTGAGAGTGGCAAGGCTCTTTATCCAAACACAGATGAACCCTTTTGCAAAGTTTGCCCGTCATGTAATGTTGCTGTCACCCAACCGACAAACACCAAAGTTTTTGAAATCACTTATGATAACGGTGTCAAATTGGAAAGCGATTTCCTCATCAAAAATTTTGCCACGGCCAAAACACTTTGCGAGGAGAAGCTTAACTTTACTGCATGTCAACTGCTCGGAAATATGTGCGTAATGCTAGATTATAAGCGTGCTAACGATAATCCATGTCAGGAGTACCAGAACTTTGTAAGCAATCCTCCTGGAAGTGATCAGAAAAAAGTCCAAAGTAAAGAGGGGGTGGACAATGCTAACTGGCCCGAATATATGCCATGGTTGTATTACCTTAACAGCCAACAGGATCCAGAGGTTGAACTTAACGAGGAAAATATAATGATAAAATTTGAAACCGAACAGTCATTGCCTTTCGTTTTAGCTGTGTATACCGCAAACGGAACATTCGTTGGGCTGAAAACCGACATATTTAACGAGCTACAACTGTGTAAAGACCGACCGACAAAGTTGAATGCAGCTAACAAGTTTGCGACACTCTACGAAAACAGTTGCAACCTCAAAGTTAGTGAACTTTGGCAGCGACAAGAAATGTACTTCTACGATCTGTACTTTCAGTCCAGTAGCAGTAGCCTGTATGCGATTCCAATGGTTCTCGAGAATTACGAAAACAACAAAGCCGATTCGTTTACATCTTGGAAACTGTTGCGTAGGTTCTTTCTTGTAGATAACGTAAGCGGACGGCCAAAGTCAAGTTCAGATGCAAAGGCAGATGCCTCAGCAGACAAGGTTATCCGTGTTGCTGAGATGATACAGCTAAACATAAGGTTACGCAACGGTCAAGGTCAGATCTATCCACCCTATATTAAAGTGAGGTATAAGACGATAAAAATAAACGATGATATATTGAAGAGAGAACCCACAGTACAAGTATCATTTGAGGTCCTCTATAAAATGGACACTTCTTCAATCTCACAAGATGTAAAGGTATTCAGCAGATTTGAAAATTATTTCCAAAACATTTGCACAATGGGTCATTCTAGTAAACATTCATACCTCCCCCATGGAGGAAATTGGAAGTCCCCCCTAACCCCTTGGAATGTCCTAAATACACTTACTATTATCAGAAACAAATTTTTCTTCCCTCCCCCTTCGGATTCTGCAGAAATTTCCTCTGTGGAGGGGAGTGTGGATATTTTTCAAGCCTGCCTGGTGTGGATATACACTCAGCATAACATCACAAGCATCTTATTCACCTGAGTACATTACACCAAAACAGCAAATAACCCAATAGAGCATTTGCAATCATTCCCCAGGGACAACTCTGTTAGCCATGTTGGTGTTCCATACAAGAGTCTGATTAAAATTATTTTGAATTGGAACATCAACATGGCAGCTGTGACATCATGTGCAAACGCTCTATATTTCGCTAAGTACTATTGCGGGGGCAGTAGACCCACTGTGGGTCTACTGCCCCTGCACCCACTAGAAAATCTCCTATGTTGAGGTGAGGTCCCAAAGGTGTCCGCTTAATAGAGGTTCGATTGCATGTAATATGTTTGATATTTTTAATATCATGCTGACAGTCAAACACACAAAGGTATTACCTGTCCTTCAGTAATTAATTTTTCTCACAGAGAAATAGTATGACTAATGCACCCTACTTTATTATTTTATTCAGTCTAACTGCAGACAATTTCACTTGACAAGGGGAGAGTGCTGTCACTCAATGGGTTAAATTAAATAACTTACCTTACTTTGAATTTCTTGCCAGACTGCCATAGGTGTGCTATCTGCCTTTGCCATCTTGTATGGCCTCGTACTGGTGTATAGCTGGAGACGCCGCGAGGGAATCGAAGTCATCGACCTTCCCACCATGCTTCACTTTGTTGCCTTCTGCCTGGGTACGCTGGCGACCGCATACTTCTGGGTGCTGTTTGGCCTCTCCAGTTTGTGGCTGATATTCTTCAAAGAACAAGATGTTGTCTACCGGCTACTTCCAACCTCCGAACAAGAAAACATATTCAGAAACCTTCTGATAATCGTATTTGTGTTTAAACTCATCGATCTGGTGCATATCATTTCGTTTCAAACAAACACCGATGTTTTCTTTGTGGACTGGGAGCGACCACGCCCATTGCCACGTGCTAATAACCAAGGCGTGGACGCTAAAGCACCGGTCAGCGTCTGGCGAACGCTGTTCATTGGCAACGAATGGAATGAGCTACAAACGTTACGAAAGATCAGTCCTGAAATTCAAATCGGGTTCGTGTTGTTCTTTCTAAAAGCTGTCGGCTTCGAGCATTTGACAACTACAGACCCGGTTCGCAGATACACGGTCGACTACGCCACAGATTACGTAGGCGAACAAAGTCATCTCTTACGTTTTGCGGTAGCAGTTATACTTTACATGGCCATAGCTTTCGTCCAGTGGGTTTTCTTCGCTTTCATTTACGAACGCTTCTTGGGCGATCCGTTTGGAGATTTTATCGACCTGTGCTCCATGGCGAATATCAGCGTGTTCATATTTCAGAATAGACTCTACGGGCATTACATTCACGGGCGCTCGGTGCACGGGCGGTCCGACACGGATATGCTGGAGATGCACGAACAGTTTAAGCGGGAGGAAGATGACCTCTGCGGCAAGCGGGGCTTGGAGCCGAATTCGGATAGACAGACCTTCGAGGTGATGGTCACGAGGAAGTTCCGAGCGTCGTACGATCGCTTTTACGATCCGATCCGAACCCAGACGCAGAATATCGAGAGAAGGAATGCGCCGCCAATACAAGGTAGGGTGTAGTAAAGAGCGGGGATCGGGAAAACAAACGTGCTTCCCGATCCATACTAGGGACCTTTAGCATGTAGGACGGCAACGCGACGACGATGGCCAAAACAAAATCCTTGACATAAATAATTTTATGGAAAACTTGTCGTGTAATATTATGTTGTAGGAAGATAAGACGGAGGTTTATATTTAAGAAGACTTCTTTCTACTAAGTCAGTTTGCCGAATAGACTGAGATGAAATTAAAACGAGCATATTGCAGAAATCAAATCATCATTAACTACAGTGCGATTCTAAACACGAGTTAATATATTTTTTAGGTCAGACAACAGGGGTGAATCTCTCAGTCGCCGTGCGACAAACCATCGAAGCATCCAGCTCAGTTAACAAATTCCTATCAGCCTTTATCGACCATTCGCTGCGAGACGACGATTACGCCGTGAAGAACAAGCTTCTTGTTGAAAGAATTTTGGATTTGGAACTTGGCGAACTCCCGCAAGAAAAAGCTGTGTTGTACAACGACGATACTCGATCGTTTACTAACGTGTTTTTCTTTGGACACGAATGGACGCTACTTCTCTGGGAGGTGCTGTTCTTTGCCATAGTGGACTACGCCGCACTGAACTTCGTTCTAGCGGGAGTGTTAACCTACCTTCAAAGTCGTGTTGTTAAGTCGATCAGAGAGATTCTCGGCAAGAAAAATTTGGCCAAGAAAACTTTGGTGGACGAACGGTTTTTGATTTGAAACTTGATGGCCGTTTAGGCCCGTCGGACGGGAAGGTGGGGTAGGGTGGTAGGGTGTAGCGCGACCCTCAAAGCAAAATAGGAAAAAGTTGCTATTGGAAAGTACAGTTGCTACCGCACAGAAGTATCCAAACGCTGCTGCTGTCGTGTGGCGGGGACGATCGTTCGCGGTTGATCCGGCAAACTACCACATATTTACCCTACAGTTCTGAATGCATACGTGGTTACTCATATTTTACGAAAAATACGTGATATATTAACTTATGTGTTAAACTTTATTTATATTACTGTAAAAGGTAAAGTTTTAGACTTTTTAAAACTAATATTTATAAAAAAACTTTTATGTGCGGGGTAAATACACTTTATTTATACATCAACAAGTATCTGCAGTACGAACTACATGCAACACTCGACTGTTTCATATGTTCTCAGCTACGATGCGCGATTGGGGGAATGGGCTCGGGTAGACGCATCTGTCGTATGACTGGTGACGTATTACCTATGACATCAGACACTGAGATAGTCTGTCTCTTTCCAAGTGATCCAACAGGTTGAAGATTGAGTATGTCTGTTTGAGATTTTTGACGGCCGCCAGAAAACTGGATGAAAAAAAATTATTTTGATTTTTATATTGTAGAGGTCCAGTAAGGGACTTATTTCTCCAGTGTTGTTGCAGGAGGAAACCTAAAATAAACTAACTTTATTTATACTGGATAGCTCTGTCAGTTCTAAACTGTTCTTCCTAGAGATCCAGTAAGGATCATCTCTTATTTATCCAGTATTGTTACAGGAGGAAACCTAAACTAAACCAAAGTTATTTATACTGTATACCTCTATCAGTTCTAAACTGTTCTTCCTGGAGGTCCAGTAAGGATCATCACTTATTGATCCAGTGTTGTTGCAAGAGGAAACCTAAACTAAACTTATTCATACTGTATACCTCTATCAGTTCTAAACTGTTCTTCCTAGAGGTCCAGGTAAGGATCATCTCATATTGATCCAGTGTTGTTGCAAGCGGAAACCTAAACGAACCTGGGTCAGCCAGCAAAGCTTTCATAATACTTACCAAATCGGGACCTTTGCGTATCAGTTGACCTTCTCGAACCACCACACCAGCCGAGATATCCATGGAGTCTGCCTGAGAAATAAGATATACGTTGAGTTAACCACTCTGCTAGTGCTGCCAATCCCCCAGAACAACTCTGTACTAAGCCTGTGGCAAGAACTGTCACATGTTCTGCGTTTAATAAAAATGTGTTACCAAATGCTTACCAATGGGGGCGGCAATGGTTTTACTATTTCAGCATCCTTGCTTTGGATTTCTAACGAGATACTGGACTTCATGGCTGGACTTTTAAACGTCGGTTTCTCTCTTGTTTTCTTTGTGTCTGCTACAAAGGACTGTCCTGTTCTACTTCTCAAGTGACTCAAAGCTCCATCTTTTTTCGTTGTTTTGCGAAGTTGATGGGTGGACAATGTGTGCAAGTGATCTGTTGGTGAGTCCAGTATATCATAGCGTGATCGTATTCTTGAAAAGGAACAATTGGTTTATAAACTAGGATAGTTCCGTTACTACAGGAGAAAACCTAAATTTATAAACTAACTTCATTTATACTGGATGGCTCTTGTCAGTTCTAAATCAGTTCTCCCTAGAAGTTCAGTAAAGACCATCGCTTATTTATCAAGGGTAAACCAGAGTACTCAGAAATAACCTGTGGTGTTTGGTAGAGTCAAAATGGCAGCACTCTTCTCACATTTGACTGAGGTGAAATTCTATTCATTCAGACAACTACATATCGTAGGAATCGAATCATGGGCTTTGGACTATTATACCTGTGTGTAGGCAGTTGATCCACACTTATCCTCATCATAGCCACAATGTTCCCGTGTTCATCGTAGGTCACCTCTTGTTCACCCGGTGGAGCTCGACTTGTTCGAATCTGAAAAACAGCAAATTAGAGATGGATCTGTCTACGTGTACAAATACAGCATTAAGTTTGTTCGAACCATTGCCAGTATGAATCGAACTATTCCAGTGAGTTTCTCTGAATAGTTCGTTAGTTAAAATATGTTTGTTCAGTGAGTAAATTTATTTCAACATTACAACTAGTCGAACATAATTACCTGATGCACTGGTCTCGTTGCTGTCTTCACTTGACCAGGGTCAACTGTATCTTCAACATTCAGATCTCCTTGATTTTCATTTTGATCCATTTTTTTCTTATTTGTTTGTTTTGTCTTCTTTCCTGTGGTTTTCACAACATGTTTTCTTCTACCAGGAGATACGACCTAAATAAAATATAACATACTCAGTAAACTGTAGCTCACTTGGTTAGTTTTAAAATTAGTCTATAATGGGAATTGTCTATTCATACACACTCGAAATTTTCATCTACAAAAATCTTCTACAATTAGTTATATCAAGTGTTGTAGATGCCCCAAATCGTCACAAAATATCATACCCTAGAAGTGGGCGGAGGTGAGGGGACGACATCCATGGAAATAGACAAATCTAGTTCACAACTTGTTTGTGTTGTTTCACCCTGCTCTGCTGATGGTTCGTCTTCGTTCTTGGTTTCATCTGCTTCCTCGACTTCGGTTCTGAATAAGAGAAAATTGACCAGATTTATACTAGAGACAGATGATCCGTCTGGATGAACTTGAGCAAAGAAAAGATAGTTCGGCCATTAATAAATTATTCTGTGTGACAGTATATAATAAACGTCAAGATGAACTATTTGTACACCCAGACGTGACGTGTGCGTATCGTTGTGAGAATGACTTGTCTATGACTATGTCCAGCTCCTTATCTTTGTCGGGATGTCTTCGTTGCGCAACCCATTCTCGACGTACCCCTCAACCCTCGTCATGCTCTCTTGACCGCGTGTAAGACGGGCTCTGGATACGAGAATGTGGCATAGCCTAGCTTCATTTAAAGACTGGCTACTTCCACAAAAATAAAATCTACAGGTATGTTGCAAACCTTGGTGAGATTTCAAGTGAATCCGTTTCTGAGTAGCTTTGCGTAAGAGTTCTGGACTCGGATCTGGCTGACAAAGGTCTGGACTCGCATCTTTGGACTGGAACAGATCCCTGTGACCATGAGTCTGTCACACATGGGACTGGCTCTAAATAATATATTCAAGAGGTTCACATTTTTATTGTCACTACCAGTCTACCATTAACCAATGCCAAAGGAGTATTAAGCCAAGTAGGTAGCGGTAGTCAAATGGTAGCGGTAGTCAAATTTGAACCTCTCTATTGTCAAATTCATTACGTGTTTATTTTATTTATTTATTTTACAAGTTTGGCATTGCAATAGATCTATATAGAGTACTATGGTTACAAATGACTGGAATTTCCACACAGAGATAGTTCTCCAATAACGGGGTTCCAAAAAGGAACAACTAATGGTATATCTAAAATTAAAGCTTAACATAACAATTAAACACAAATACAAGAAGACAAAGCAAACGTATACATTGATGAACAAACGAACAAAAACTAAATTTAGCAACATGTTCGAGTTGATAAGTTCATTAGTGGGCGAGTGGTGTGACATATAAGACACACAGACTTAAATGTTCTTGGATCTTCAGGGTCATAAATTTGTTGGGTTAATTCTACGTAGTATTTCATTAGATTACATTTAAATGTAGTTAGAGATGTGGTGGTATTTCTTATGAAGCCGGGAAGCGTGTTCCATACGATCATACGTGTTTTGTAGTATACGTGTTAACTTTGTAGCTAGTATACATGTTTGTAGTATAGTGTTCCATACGATCATGGGTGTCTGTAGTATATTTATAT